TTTATGAAAACTCATATTTTGATACAGGAGGCTAGAGAAATTAAAAATGTATTGTATCGAAAAGGATGGAGGTATTTCGTATTATTTATTCTCGTTTAAATTTAATGAAAGGAAAATTTTCCAAAAGTCCAAAAGAAGCACCGAAAATCCGATAAGGCCAAAATACATAGCATGAAATCTTTGAATAAAGTTCGAATCCCTATATGGAGTTTTGCTTTCCTTTAAACAGCCAAAATGTTGTATTCAAAGTTTTGCGAAATGCTTGAAGAAATTGGCTATAAGAATTTTTTGGTTTCCTCTCCTGTAACATTTCTAAAATAGGACTTTTCACTCTAAGCTAGCGATATATGTTTTAATAAACAACAATAAATATAAAATTTAATTAATAAAAAAATACCACCCTTTCCACTGGTTTTTGAACCAGCGCAAAAAATTGCAAAAAAGCAAGCTACATTTTTGCAGCAAACGCCACAGTACTCAAAAGCTGACGGCGTAAATTTGCAAATATATATCACCAACGGCAGCTAATTTATGTAAATTTGCCACAAACCTCTCACTTCACCATAGAATATGGTAGTTAAAACTGGTGTGGCGAACTCCTTGATCTCAGTGGTGAACTCTCGCATCTCAGATCTTCTAATTAGTACCAGAGAATGTTAATTTAATGAGAAGGAGCAAATGTTAAAGTGTGTTTGCATTGTTCAACTTTGCGTTCAACTCAGCGCAGGGTTGCACGAAAAAAAATGGCTAAAAATATCAAAATATTCGCCATAAAAAGGTGTTTGCATTGTTCAACTTTGCATTCAACTTTTGGTTGAATGGCCTTTCAACTAATCGCTTTCAACAAAATTGGTCGCCAGCCAACATTTAGCCATTCAACTTTTTTTTCGTGCAACCCTGCGTTGAGTTGAACGCAATTGTTGAACGCAAAGTTGAATAATGCAAACACTGCTTAAATGTTAAATTTTTTTAGTACTACTAAATTCTGAAAGGTTTGAGATGCGGGAGTTCACCAAAATAAATATTTGATGCGAGATTTCACCAAACTAAATTTTTTACCACAGAAAGAGATGAAATTTTTCACCTTTTTGCACTTGCTCTTGCGACATACCGTTAGGCTAAAAATGAGAATTGGCTATTTTAAATTTTTTATAAGAAAAGCGGTGAAATGGTAAAAAAATACCAAAAATGTGATTTGGCAATTTTTAGATTTTGTCAAAAGTCGAAATGCGCCAAAATTGTAAAAAAATGGGGAAGGGGAAAATGAAAGCAACCTTTGTTAATGGTCCAAAGTTGTCAAAAGAAAAAATCTTGTAAGCGCGCGGTTGTCGTTATATGAAAAGTGAATTTTGAAGTGTTATTTGAAAAGTGTGTGTATGTATGTAAATATTAAATAAAAAATTAAATTAATTAAAAAAATATATGATTGTACATTTGTGGCAAAGATCAGAGTTTCTGACTGGAAACTCCTGGCATCAAGCCTTTTATCCATACGTACCAAAATATGGATTTATAAAACCAAATAAGCATTTAATCATTACTTTATTTTTATTTTTTGCTTAAAAATAATAATTAGTTATAGGTAATTATTATTAAAAATTTCGGGACTTATTCCTTTTATTAAAGTGTCGCTACCTCAGAAAATGATATTTTGAGTTTTATGAATAATCATTACTCTTAAGTGAAAAAATAAAACTCAATAACTTTTATCTTTGAGCGAAAAAATAAAAATCATAAAATAATCACTATTTTTTATCAAAAAAATAAAAATCTTTTAATAATAATTTTTATTTTGAGGGAAAGAATAAAACTCACGTATTAATTATTAAATCTATGAAATCTTTATTGGTTGAACTCGAAAAATAAAAAATCATTATAAATTCCAGTAGAAAATATGTCACTTATAACTTGTTGATTTTTTGGTTAAAATTTAAAAAATTATCCCTGTTTATAAATATGAACTGCACATTTTTATGATATAAAAAAATCAAATTAAATAAAATATAATAAGGTAAAATAAACTAATAAAATAAAATAAAATAAAATAGAATAATTAAATTAAATAAAAATAAAAAATAAAATTAACTAACAATATAAAATAATCAAATTAAATTAGATAAACTAATAAAATAAAATAATGAAATTAAATTAAACTAATAAAATAAAATTATCAAATTAAATTAAATAAACTAGTAAAATAAAATAAAACAAAATAAACTAATAAAATTAAATTAAAAAATAGTAATAAAATAAAATATAATTTAGTAAAATTATATTGAATAAACTTTTTAAATAAATAAACTCTTTTTGTATTTCAGGATTTTTTAAATCCTATAATATAAGTTTTTTATATATTTTTACCTGTTCTTTTTACGTAATTTCAAATTTTAAAATGGTTTATTAGCACTTTTTTCATATCATTATAGTGAGTTTAATTCTTTTTATTATATACATAACATACCTATGATTAAATAAAGGCATATCAATAAAAAAAATTGTATAAAAGCAAACTTGATTTTTGATAAAATTTTGATAGGTTTTGGTAGGTTTTTCAGGTCAATTTCGTGTGTTCGTATAAGCAAAAATTACAAGTACGCACATATATCCTTTGGTACGTAGATGTAGATATGTCAACGAAAAAGAAAGAATTTTTGAATTCATACTTGCGTTTTGAAGCGTACATCTAGCTTGTAAGATGGCTGACATTCAAGATGTGCTGTGGCATAGTTGGTAGAGGCGAAGCGATGATGATGCTTTACAGATACAGTCTGGGTTCGAGTCCGGTTAGATGCGGTGGTTTGTTTTATATATTTATAAAATGAAATAAAATAATAATTTGTGATCCAAAAAAATTGATTTTTTGGCTTTTCTGCGGATTGTGAAAAAGTTGAAGAAGAGGAAGAATTCTAGACAAGGCGGGGGAAACGAAAGTGAAGGGATTCTGCGCACTTGTCGGCATTGTTGCCCGTTTTCGGTAACGCGCAGAAAAAATATTTTCTTTAGACAACTGAAGTGAGCAAAGGGAAGGGGGATTTTGTACACTGTTGAGACTTTTCCGATCGGCGCGGTGGTTGACAAAATTTGAGATTTTTAGATTTTGTCAACGCCGCGACGAAAACCAACTTGT